GAGCTCCCCGGAGAGGAGCTCTTTGCAAGGGGCTTGATCTGGACTCCTTGCGAGCGGTGGCAAGCAGAAGTCCTATATCGTCCCAATGCAAGGTCCAGCTAAGTGCATCCGTGGCAGCCATGGACGCGAAGCTGTGACTACCCGGGCGGGGGGGGGGAAGCAGAAAACTTCATCTACCTTTATTTAAAACTTCTAAGAACAGCACCATGAGTACCTGTTAAAGCAACAACACCAGAAAATCCCCCCTTGACTAAGCCCCTTTAATTTTTTTTTTTAAAAAGACAAAGAAGTGGAGGGGTGAAGAACTTCTTTCCCTCCCCCTCCTTCTCTCTTCCAGCAGCTAGGAAAAGAACTCAAAGCTATTCTTTAAATAGTTTCTTGGACAAAAGAAGATATGGTTGTTGTCTAAGATTAAAACTATGTAATAGATCCATTAATTCTTCAATACCATATAGTGGATTAAAATATCATACTGTGGAATATAAAATCTGGGAAAATTTTGTTTTATTTGGCTTTGAATTTTGTTGAAGCACAAGTATATTTTCCTTTGGAATTATAATTATTTGGAACCATATAAAGACCCCTTAAAGGATTACGATCCTATTGCAATATTTGGATTATTGTGTTTGAGCCGCAACCTGGGTAAACTCTGTACAGTGTTTGAGCAATGGGAAATTATTTAAAGGGACTGGGCTACCTTATCTGCTGATGCTTCTGTGACTGAGTGAGAGGACCAAAGATGTGAAATGGTCATGACTGTCTATCAGGGCTCTACTGGTAGCAGGAGCTACACCCCCTAGTGTAGCCTATCCTCCAAGAGCTTACAGAGCTCTTCTTACTGGGGCTACTGTAAGCTCTTGGAGGATTGGCTACACTGGGGTGTGTGGCCTAATATGCAAAGGAGCTCCTGCTACCAGTAGAGCCCTGCTGTCTATATATTTTAGAAAAGGCAAGAAGGGTAGGCGCGTATGACAACCTGTGGGAAATAGGTTGTGGAAGGTGGGAGGCATTCTATGTGAGTGAGAAAGAGCCATCACACTTGTGTAGGTGCCATTCTGAGTACTGGATGGCTCTCCTGCTCAGCAGGTTATAGTTCTGTTCAACACTCCCACCAAGTGCTTGACTGGGGGGGGGGGGATTGTGGATTCTTAACTGCCTCTGTGTATGTGTTTTTACCCTGAGACAACCAGTCCACAGGGTTAAACAAACAAGAAGTTAACTTTTATTTATGGTTTGAAAATAACTCGAGAAAGTAAGGTAGAGGTTACAATGTTTCTTTTCTGTTGAACATTTGAACTGTTTCCTTATTCCAGCATTTGGGAATTTTCTTTACTTTCCAGTTAGTTTTAAGCTATTCTTCACCTCAGCTTCACTCAGCCAGACACTTTCCCCTGTCCTACTCCCTAGCTGCCAACTCCCAACTGCTGTTTTTCAACTATCCCTCATTCCGTCAGTTCTCATTGGTCATCATTAGGGAGATGCAGAACTTAACCTGTCCATCACAACAAGTATTCAGACAAGTGGCCTAGAGGTTCAGTTAACTCTCTGGGCCTCTTTGCCAATGCAGAAGAAAGGCAAGTAGATGAGTTCATGTCATGACATGCACATCCAGATACACTATTGTAAACCTTACCAGGTTCAACAAGTGCATTCCAAATGGTCTGTTTAATCCCAAGGATTCTCAGGCAGTTGAATGACAGAACTAATTCTAATAGTAATCTTGCTGGCCAAGGCACCCCTGAGGCTCCCCAGAGTTCTAACAAAGAATGCTAGCTATAGCTCAGCACTCAAATATCAGGTTGATGGCCGTTTGAGTACTATTCAGGGTTTCAAAGAGAAATTAGCTGTCTTATCCTGGAGAAACAGGTGATTATGATTGTGAGAAATTCTTTATTTCCAGTTTAATTTAATTAGGAAGTTTGCTCCATATTTGCAGATGTCCAATCTGACTATGCTGAGCTATACTTCAGTAACCTTTAAGGATAGATTACTGTAACATGTTCTACATGGCATTGCCCTTGGAGAGTATCTGGAAACTTTAGCTGGTATAAACAAACCAGGGGGCAGATGTCAGGACTATTCATTTCCAGGTCCAATTCAAAGTGATGGTGCTTACCTTTAAAGCTCTTCTTGACTTGTAGCTCACATACCTGAAGGATGTTCCTGGGCAGCAGTTTTGCTCTTCTCAGCAGGGTTTAATGACTATGTCCCTTAACTCTAGAACATGCTGTTTAACAGCACAAGTGTGGCCTTTTTTAGGGGGGCTTTAGGCTACTTCTGAAAAAATGGATTCCATCCAATATGACTTTTTCTGATGTTTATTGACTTCTCCTAGATGTGTTTCGGGCATAGCACTGGGACCGGAACTAGGCGAATTATTTATGGAAGCTAGGGCTTGGATTAAAGCATTTCTCTTCAAAGTAAAGGCTTTAAAATCTGAGGGAGGAGCTACTGTACTTGGGCTTACCCAGGCAGATAAACATTATAGCCAATGAGATCAACTATTGGAAAAGAAAATGAAATGCCTAGGAATAACAAATGATATGATTAAGAATAGAGAAACTAAAGACATTATAAGACAAATTTTAAAATGTGTAAGGACGTTAATGCTACAAGTATGTCTATTAAGGTGTGCAGGATATGTTTGACACTCCATTTAGGAATCCCCCCCCCCATGCAACTGCCGAAATATTTTTATCAAGTTGATAGCCCTAAAATGAAGAAGAGCTTTTCCTTTGGCAAGACTGAATGTTCTTCCCTTGGCAGTTTTGGAGGGCAGATATAATAGAGTACCATACTCTAATAGAACATGCAGATGCTCATATGATACAATGGAAACCATCGAACTTTATGGAGTGCCATATATTAAATGACTTGAGGGCTAATTTAGTCACCCCTTTACTTAAAGATATGGAATTGCTAAATGTGTGAGCCCAGGTGTCATGGCTACTGTTGGATCCAAATGATCGTGTGACCCTCTTAGTGGCAAAACTCATAGGCACAATAATCAAATATAAGAGAAATAATACTGAGTAAGGTCTTTAAAAATATTTCTGTTTAAGGCGATAGCCGTATCAGCAGAGATTGCCAGATGGACGGACAGACAGACAGACACTCCTGATTTTCCAGAGAAGCTGTGTAAAAAACAAAACAAATCTATTCTGCAGATTATCTGGTCTGCAGTGGTTTTTAATGAAATTTTAATGTATTTTATTATTTTAGTGCTTTAGTGTTTTTAATTCTGCCCTCTCGTATGATTTTATTTATTTTATATTATGGTACACAGTTTGGGTCATGACTGGGTCAGGAGAAAGGTGGGCATATAAATATTTTATATAAAATATCCCACTTCCACATATTCCTTAAAGGGTGGCTCTTACCAGTCCTCCTGCTGTCCTAGATTTCTAATCTGGAACTTGAACAGAGTGTTTGCAGCTCATATGGAGGGCTCCTTTGAGCCTATGGTTCAGACACTGTTAAAAGTGAATTACTTAAAAATAGCCTTTATGGTGTCTATCTCCTCAGTTTACCAAGTTTCAGAGCCCTTTCATCCAGTACAGAATTGTTCATCAACTACTGTGACAAAATAGTTCTGCACACAGTTTATTATTACTCAGAGTACATCTGCTAAAATTGCATGAATATATAAAGCAATATTGCCAAATTTGATTCTTGAAAGTGCAGTGTTCTTCCTGACAGTCTATTGAACTGATCCTATGCTGCAACATTCAGAAAGCCTCAGTTAGCAATCTTCATACTGTAGTTCATTTCAACATATGGGATGTGTTTTTTAAACTGGCCGTGTGGTTCTAAACATTTAAATAATTAAAATATTGAGTGGTGACTAAGAATGTCATGCATGGTGTAGAAAATTTAAGGGAAACCTGTCAACTTCATCAAATGGAGAAAGCACTAGGACATCAAGCATAGCTGCATTTTCTGAGCACAGCTGCATATTCTTGAAAGAGACTGAATCAGATGTTTTCTTGACAGCATTGCTATGGAAGTAGGAACCCATGCATGATTTTGAAAATATTATATTGTGTTCACTTGGGTTTCTAATGTACATACATGCATTTCAGCCTTTTAAAATCAGTAGTTCAGTATTAGACATTAAGAATCAGTGATTCAGGATAATAAACTTTGAAAATATAAGTCATGTTGTCCATTCAGATTTTGTTAATGTCATAGTCATAGTTAATGTCATGGTAAAGGTAAAGATTTCCCTTGCTCGAAAGCCAGTCGAATCCAACTCTAGGGATGCAGTGCTCATCTCCGTTTCCAAGCCAAAGAGCCAGTGCTGTCCACGGTGCACGGAATGCTGTTACCTTCCCACCTATTTATCTACTTGCAATTTCTTGCTTTCGAACTGCTAGGTTGGCAGGAGCTGGGACCAGAGACAGGAGCTCACAGTTCGGCACCCGGGGCTCGAACTGCTGAACTGCTGACCTTCCAGTCTGCAGCTCAGCGTCTTAACCACTGGTGCATTAATAGTACTCACCAAAATGTCTTCAAAAGGTTCCTGTGTATGTGTGTGATATTTTGTTATTTAATCTGACATATATTGGGTAGTAAGTGATTTGCTGGAGAGGATTTTTCTTTTCCTGTGTTAAGTGTTACAATATTGACATGTATTGCAAAGCATTTTAAAGTACATTTTAACTGTGTTTTAACATTTTTTTAAAAAGCATTCTGCACGGCACAATAAAGCTTTAGCTCAGAACGTTGAAGAGAGGGTAACTTTCATGAGACCCCTGTTCTGCGTTTAAATGTTTCTCAATTCAGTGAGACCAAGTGAAAAATAATCTCTGATTTTTTTCATTGAACTTGTTACTCTCATCTTCAAAGTATTACCAAAGGGAGTTTGGCATAACCGTGGACATGAAATCGAAACTTGAATAGTATTTTAAATGGAGAGGGTTAAAAGCCTTTCTTTTACATGAGCACACATGTTCTTTTATTTGATACCTGAACTATGAAAAATGTCTCTGACTTTCTAGGGAGAAGGAGGAGGAATCTACTAGAGTGGAAGAGGCACAGAGGCTGCGGGCCCAGCAGGCTGATGCTGCCCTGGAGGAGTTTAAGCGGCGGGTGGAGCTGAACTCAGAAAAAGCCTATGCTGAAATGAAAGAGCAGGTGAGGAGGTCATAATGCCAGCCTTTCTGTAGCTCTGTGTCTCAGTGGGGTAGCATATTCTCTTCTTATAATGCCAGAAACATGCTTCTCTTGATAGTGGTATATCAAACTCTTTTACAATTTAGTGGCTTTGCCAGCAAGCCAGGAGAAAAAGAATGTTAGCTGTTAATTCATCTTTGTAACAAAGCCAAGATTGTACTGTAAAACTACCCATAGTGGTGTTACTGATATGGGCTTTGTTTTGGATTAGGCCCTGATCTCCCATTTCACACATCTCTTTTATTTCCTTTTAATGGGGAATTTCCTTTGGTTTATCTAGTTTATCTCATTGTGACTATAGTATGTGATACAGACACAGTATCAAATAGTGTTCCATAATTTTAAAATGAAAGCTTCCAACATAATACTTGTCCATGATATCCTGTGATCTTCTGGTCTCCATTTTTCCAGCATCAGTCTTTACTTTGGGGCCAAGACCAGTTCTGTCAAACCCAGAATCTAGGAGCCCCTAACCAAGGGTTATTTGCAATGAAAGTCCTAGCTAGGACTTTTTGTAGTAAAACAGGGTGCAAGCTAACAGACTAATATGTAGAAAAGGACCACTCAGAATAGGCAGGGCTCTTTTTGTAGCAGGAACTCCTTTGCATATTAGGCGACACACCCCTAATGTAGCCAAAACTCCAAGAATTTACAGTAGCTTCTGTAAGAAGAGCTCTGTAAACTCTTGGAGGATTGGCTACATTAGGGGTGTGTCGCCTAATATGCAAAGCAGTTCCTGCTACAAAACGAGCCCATCCAATCTTGCACCGAGGGTCTTTAGACTATTTCCCAAGCATTTTTGATTTAACTAATAGTGTTCTGCTCTCTTGCTGTAGTCCTTTAACAGCCCCCAGTCACATCACTGTTTAATTAATAAAACTTGGTAATAGATTGGTATACAATTAAACCCCAACACACCTTCTCCATGCCTTGAAACCTTCCTTCTTCCTTATAAGTAAGTGACGTCTTTCATGTTAAATCACAAATGGCAGTTGGATTCTAGTTATGGATTTTGGTTGAAATTTTGCAGATTATTATACATGTTGAAATTTATCCACAGCCTAATTTTTTTAAAGCACTATATTGCGTGATGTATGGAATTTAAATGGTTTGATTCACATTGCTTTAATCCCAGAGTGTATTAGAAAAACTGATAGTTCTTTGCACTAAAACCTTCCAGTAATTAGAAGTTAATAATTGGTACAAGCACAACTAATGCTGAAATTTAATATTTTTAAATGAAACTATCTGTAATATAAGTGCAATGGACTATTTTTCCTGGAGTTGCTAAACTCAGCCTAAAGTACCAACAAATATTTTTGAATAGCATGTAATCGCTCAAATCAATGGACTCTACTGTTGCTGGCATATCATCATTTTCTTGACTTCCTCTTCCACTTGAAAAGGTCTCATGATCCATACATTCATCTCCTAGTTTTACAGACCAGGGAAGTATGCACTGATGGACTGTGTCATGGAAAATATCCACAGAAAGATATCAGCTAATTAGCACTATTCTTAAGAACATTTCTGAGAACATGCAGACATCATCAGCCTTTATCATCCTATGAGAAAGGAGACATATTTTTTATTTATTTAATTTATATCCCCCCCTCCCCACGAAGGCAGGCTCAGGGCGGCTTACGGCCATATATAAAAATACATTGTACAAATATTAAAACAGATAAACAGTTAAAAACACAACAAAGTGCAAAGTGCTAGCAGTACAGTAAACAATAAACAATGGCAGCCTTCTTTCGGCATCCAGATATAACAATCGCCATATTCCAGGTTCCATGCCAGGCTATCAGGTATTACTTTAGTGCTGGTGTTATTTTGATGCTGATGTTAGGGCCAGGGCCACGATCTTACCGGCGGCCCCTTAATTAAAAGCCTGGTGGAAGAGCTCCATTTTACAGGCCTTGCGGAACTGCAAAAGATCCTGCAGGTCCCTGATGTCCTTCGGAAGCTCATTCCACCTGTGCGGGGCTGCCACAGAGAAGGCCTTGGCCCTTGTCACCGCTAGCCTGGCTTCTTTAGGGCCTGGAAGGGCCAGATGGTGTTGGGATCCGGATCTTAGTGCCCTCTGGGGAACATGTGGGGAAAGGCGGTCCCTCAGGTAAGTAGGTCCCTGACCATATAGGGCTTTAAAGGTCAAAACCAGCACCTTGAACTGAATCTGGTATGCTATTGGCAGCCAGTGCAGCACTTTTAGGGCGGGCTGGATGTGCTCCAGCACAGGAAGGCACAGCAACAGCCTCGCCGCTGCATTCTGCACCAGCTGCAGCTTCCGGACCTGGGACAAGGGCAGCCCCATGTAGAGAGCATTGCAGTAATCCAATCTCAAGGTGACCATTGCATGGATCACTGTTGCCAGATCGTTGCGTTCAAGGAAGGGAACCAACTGCCTAATCAGCCGTAGATGGTAAAAGGCTGCCTTGGCAGTGGCTGCTACCTGGGCCTCCATCGTTAGGGAGGCATCCAAGAGCACTCCCAGACTCCGAACCTCCACCGCTGGCACCAACAGCACCCCATCGAAGGTTGGGAGTGGGATCCCTAACCTTGGTCCACTCCGACTCAGGCACAGGACCTCCGTCTTCGTTGGATTCAATTTCAATCAACTCAGTCTAAGCCAACCAGCCACGGCTTTCAATGCCAGGTCCAGATCTCCCAGACTAGAGTCTGACCAGCTGCCCAACAACAGATAGAGCTGTGTGTCATCAGCATATGGGTGACAATCCAGCCCATGCCTCCAGGCAATCTGGGCAAGGGGGCGCATATAGATGTTAAATAGCATTGGGGAGAGTACCACCCCTTGTGGCACTCCACAATCTAGCGGGTGCCTTCGGGACAGCTGTTCTCCCAATGCTACCCTTTGTCCCCGACCCTGCAGGAATGAGGAGAGCCACTGCAAGGCAACCCCCTGAATCCCGGCCTCAGCGAGGTGGTGGGTCAGTAGTTGATGGTCGACCGTGTCGAACACCACCGACAGGTCTAACAACAACAACACTGCCGTGCCGCCTTGATCCAGATGCCTCTGAAGGTCGTCTGTGAGGGCAACCAGGACCGTCTCTGTCCCATGACCTGGTCGGAAACCGGACTAGAAGGAATCTAATACGGAGGCATCATCCAAGAAACCTTGCAGCTGAGTCGCCACCGCCCTCTCGATCAATTTACCCACATAGGACAAATTGGATACCGGCCAATATCAGCCAGATCCAGAGATTATTTTTTAAGGAGAGGGCGGACCACTGCCTCCTTTAGTGCGCTAGGGAACAGACCCTCAATGAGGGACTTCTTGATGATCTCCCTTAGCACACTTCGTAGCTCATCACGACTTGCTTTAACGAGCTACGATGAGTATAGATCAAGGCTGCAAGTGGTCGGGCGAACAGATGAGAGTAACTTGTCAACCTCCTCTAGACTGAGTGGACTGAAATAATCCAGAATGGGAGCAGAAGATGTGCATGGAGCCTCAAGTTCCGTTACTGTCTCAACTGTGGTGGGGAGGTTGTGGCAGAGCGACAAGACTTTATCTGCAAAATAGCTCTCAAATGCCTCACAACCAATCTCCAATTCCCTGTTGTTTGATCTGCCCTGTGGCAGTATAGTAAGAGACTGAATTGTTTTAAATAATTGGGCTGAGCGAGAGCTCGCAGACGCAATTGTGGCCGCATAATATTCCCTTTTTGCAGCCTTGGTTGCCATCTCATAGGATCTCATAAATGTCCTGTAAGATGCTCTTGTCACTCTGTCGCAAGTGCAACGCCACTGTCTCTCTAGCCAAGCTCCCATTTCATCAACCTCAGCTCCTGTCTGTACCAAGGAGCAAGTTTAAAACGGGGACGCAGAGGACATCGGGGAGCGATCATGTCGATGACTGCCAAGAGTCGGGTTTGCCAGTCCTTGACAAGCTCACCTAGCTTGTGGGCATCGGATCCCGCAGAGCCATGTGAAGCCACATGGGGTCCATTTGGTTTCGCGGGCTAGCCAAAATATGCTTGCCGCCCAAACAGGGTCGGGGTGGCACATTCACACGGGCCTTAGAACATGGTGGTCCGACCATGGCATGGCCGTAGCCATGACCCGGTCCACTGTAACACCCCCCCCGTGAAGATCAAATAGAGTGTATGCCCTGCTCTGTGAGTGGGGGCCGTAACGCATTGGGAGAATCCTAGCGCCACCATGGATGACACCAGATCCATTGCCTGCGTGCAGGTTGCGTCATTGGAATGGACATTGAAGTCACCCAAGACTAACAGCCTAGGGCGCTCCGGTGCCCATCCTGATACGACCTCCAGCAGGGATGGCAGGCTGCTGGCCAGTGCGTTGGGCAGATGGTACACCAGTCAGATAGCCAAACTCTCCCCGTCTTCCCATACAAAGCCGGCACACTCTATGCCCGTGAGCCTCGGCAGGGAGAGCGCTCTGAAGGTGTAATCCTCCCGAATGAACAATGCCACTCCTCCCCCTGCCCCTTAGTCTGGGATTGGTGATGGACCGAGAACCCAGGAGGAGCTAATTGGGAAAGAGCTACGGTCTTCCCATCCCACACCCAGGTCTCAGTCACGCATGCCAGGTCCGTGTCCTGTTCGGATAGGAAATCACGGAGGATCATGGTCTTATTGTTTATGGACCTGGCATTGCACAACACCATAGCCACTGTATAACACCATAGCCACTGTTGCCTTGGTAACACTGAGATTGGACTACTTTAGCGTGTTCCAAGTGAGGTAGACCTTGAAGATGGTCTAGAAACTTGACCAGAGCTTGAGTCAATGTGCACTTAAGGCCAATGTTTTTTCCAGTTGCACTGGCTTCCAGTTTATTTCTAGATGCTAGCTGAGACCTTTAAAGTCAGGTTGGGTCCAGAGTATCTCCGCTCAGCAAACTGCCTGAGCTATGAGACTGATGGTAAGAAGTTCTTGTATGAGTCTGCATACCCTTATTTATTTACAAAA